CGTGGTTCAGCAGAGAGGAAGGACCTCCACTGACCTGCTGGCAACGCTTTACCTTGCAGTCCAGTATATTCTATGTTTTTTTGCTGTGAGGGTGCATTGCTGGCTTATGGTCAGCTTGTTATCCACAAGGAACTCAAGCAAAGCTGCTTTCCAGCCAGTTGGCTCCCAGAATGTACTGGGTTTATTTTATTCCACTCCAGATGCAGGACATTGCATTTCCCTTTCTTGAACTTCATGAGATTTCTCTCTGCCCAGTTCTCCAGTCTGTTGAGGTCCATCTGAATGACAACGCAGCCGTCTGGCCTATCAGCCACTTCTCCCCCTTTATCACGATCCCATTGTCCAGGTCTTTCAAAGAAGATGTCGGCACCAATATTGAGCCCTGGAGTGCACCACCACTGACTGGCCTCCAGCTGGACTTTGTGTCACCGACCACGACTCCATGGGCCTGGTAGTTCAGCCAGTTTTTAATCCACCTCACTGTTGCTTATCTAATGCATACTTTCTCAGCTTGTCTATGACGATGTTATGGCAGACAGTGTCAAAGGCGTTACTAAGTCAAGGTAAACAACATCCAGTGCTCAACCACATTTACTGCTCAATCTACACAGATTTTTATTCTTTTTTAAAAGGCCACTTCTGTTATATTTTATTTTCATAAAAAGCACATAGACAACTAGCGATACGTTCACACTACAATGATGAAAACCAGTATTACTGATATTTTCCCCAGCAGGCTGCAAAACTAGGTCCTGTTAGCAGACTATCAAAGATAAAGAAGATGCTCTGTGCTTAATGAAAATAAGGAAACTGGCAAAATTAATACGAATTCTACCAGGCTGTTGCAGTATATATATTATTTTCTTTGAAATACTGTTAATAGTAATATCAGAATTACATAGAACATGACATTATTTTTACTGTCGACATTAACAAAGCATGAAGCTGGCTGGGAGGTATTTAAGCCAACAGTTAGATTCACAAATGCAGAGCCCTGTTTCTACATAAACTCCACCAAAATCCATGGATCTCCAAGTATCTGAACTGACAGAACAGAAAGCAATATCATGGCAAAAAGCATTGCAATTCTGCAAGAATTCCATGTATAGCACTTCTTTTATTGGACACATTGGGGGCAAAAAGATTATGACTGCACAGTAGATTTTTAAGAAAACATTAGAACTTACTAATGATATGGAATCCACAGCACAGGGCACTAAAACCCAAATAAGCAAAATCTATCGGTGTGTAGTTGTTTACTTCTTCAGGCATAAATACAACCAACAAATGCCAAGTGGTTTAGAAAACAAAGCTGCATTCCTGATATATATATAGCAAAACTTTAAAAGTTTTTGATCACTCTTCAGAATCTTATGCACAAAATCACATATCCTCACATGGTCTGTACAGTCCAGAACACAAAATTTAAAAATAAACAAACTATATTTCTGTCTCAAACTACAACTAAGAATCTGCATTTCCATCCATATATACATAAAAGCAACACTCACTAAATAGTTTTCATCCTGGAATGCATAGTGTAATGTTGTGATCCACTGGTTATCTCCATTCACTAACACATCTCTCTCTTCTCGAAAACAGGCTGTCTGAAGGGGAGAAAAGTAATTACAGGTTTTAAATAAAAAATATAAAGAAACACATTTTGCAAGTTGACTATGTTTTAACATTAATATTTCACGGGAAAAAACTCAAAACTGCCTCTCAGGTAAAAAGTCATTTACTACACTCTCCCAACATGCCAAAAATCTATGAAAAACTAGGTATCAGAAAAGTCCACCTTCTTAAAATTTAAACAGTTGTACTTGTCTATATTGTTAAATGATGCAAAGGGAGAAATAAGCTGCTGCTTCCCATTGTCTAAAAATACCAAGTCAAAATCTTGTCTTTTTTGTACATATAGATATTGAAATCAAGTACCAATAATGACAGAATAGCAATATAAGATTGAAAAAAACAATCAGTAATGGCATTATAAAATAACTGCAATAGGAGTTAAAGAACTAGGATGTAGAGTCTTGTGTCATTGTTTTACCTCATCATGCCGTTAACCTAGTTTTACACTTGAATTTTCACACAAGCAAGGCTGTTGTTTTCATTTGAAAGTAGCTGCCAATAACTTCCATGTAGTCATAACATGATAATCATTAACCAGTTGGGGTTTTCCCCACACTTTTTGCTCAGGAAAAGTAGGATAGAACTGAATACTCTTCTTGCCAGATACAAGCCATATGATAAGACATCCAGGAGGACCTCCCCTCAATATAGAAATATGGAAAATATGGAAATATGGAAAGAAAAATATGGAAATATGGAAATATGGAAAGAAAATATGGAAATATGGAAAGAAACACGGGAGGCAAAAGGTGCCTTCACAGTAAATGGAACAGAAGAAGAACAAGAACTGCCAAGAAATGCTAAGGAATACCTAAGAACAACAACACAGGTTTGTATGAAACAAAAGAAGATAAAATGTGAAGAAAATAACCAACTGGAAAGCAGGAAGGCAGTTAATTCAATGGAAGTCTTGCAACCTGCCCCAAGAAGTGAATAAAATACCTCAGCAAAAGCAGCATTGCAGAATGACAGAGGAAAATGACCAAAGAAACTAGAAGCCAAAAAGAAACCATAGCAAAGAAGTATGATAAATGTTTTGAAGGGACTGAGTTCTTAAGTGAATATCACAAGAAAACAAAAGGTACGAAATAGCAAAGCCAACAAAATTTTGTTCAGAAAAAGGTCTAACAGACAGTGTGAAAGAACGAATAATAATTGTATGGGCTCTATTTAGAAGGCAGATGGAGAGTTAGAGAAAAACACAGACCATAATTTCTTCCAGCACACTCTGCTACTTAACAAAGATGTTTCATCGTTTTGAACCATGCTCTGTCTCTTCCATCTTAGGAGACAGCTAAATTTAAAGGAAAATCAAGGCTTTTCTTTATACTTTTCCAATTTAATTTCCAAAAAACAGGCAAATATGAGAACTCTGATATGGTCATTGTTGACTGTGAGATTTGGAGAGTGAAAAATGAAAAGTGAGGTAGCATTTAAATTGAGCTGTGCACAAGAATACATGCCGTAAAAACAGATCAGAAAATAATTCCTTCCTCCAAGCAAATAAACCATACCAAGTCTTGTTTCAGTAAATACAGTAAGAATAAAACAGATCAAGAAAAAAAAAGATGGTATACTTTCATCACAGCACAATGTATGAGATAAATCAGTGAAAACTGAGAAAAAACATACTTTAACCAAATACCCTCAAAGGTTATTAAATGAAAAATGGACTTGGGGGTGGGGGAAGGAGGATCTTAGAATGAAGCAAAGCTGTTCGATGCTTCAGCTTGATGTTTTTCCTTCCTTGTTTGTAAACTCTTGACATATTTCAGAGAGAGATGCTATGAACTGTTTTCACAAGGATAAATGACACATAGTTCCTCTACTTATGACACAATTCACAGGATTAGTTACTACAGAGTTTATATAATTCCACTTGTTTTTGCCATGATTTAACAAAAGACCATGCATTCCTTCAGCACTCTAGACACCCACCTCCAGGCAGTATGCCTAGAGCTGACAGCAACAGCTATTACCACAGTAGATCACAGCTGACACAGTAACAGCCAAAGAGTCAAAGTGATTCATTGCCTTTACATTAATTCATGGGGGAGAAAAAAAAAGGGGGGGGGGGAAGGATGGTAGCAGCAGTTCTTGTAATTACTGTAACATAGCTCAATTAAGTTTTGGGTTTTTTAAATGAAGCCTTTTTCGTGTCTTTGATTATTTCAACATTGCACCTCATCCTTCCTAGGCACGGTCTCCTTGACTTGTTGGCAGGGACCTCCAGAGGTCATCTGATCCAAGTCTCTGTTGCAGCAAAGCCAACTAAGTGCTTTGGTTGTATCTATACTGTTATCGTGGCCTTCAACCAGCAAAGAATTCAGGCTGCTCAGCTATTTGGTGCTCATGTCCTTAAAGCTCAGAGTTAGTACCTCCTGGGCGTGCTGACGGCTTCCGTGCTGCGTAATATTTGTCCTGGTCTCTCCTGAGCCTCATGTGGCACCGCCATGGCGCACATGTAACTGTAAGTGATTGTCAACACTCAGAGTAACAGGTTTGGGAGCGTAACAGCAAGCTGTCGCACACTGTCAGGTACTCCTTGTATCAGTAACGTTCCCAGTTCTACATCACATCTCTGAGTTTTCAACAGTGGCAAGTATTTGGAAAACTTCTGCTCTTTATAATACAAAAGAGAACACCGACCTTGCAACCTGTATAATTCCATTGTAGCAAAGTTTTTGCATGCAATTACTCATAGAGCTTGTGGTCATCAACCTTAATCTGGCATTCGCAAGCCCCTGAGAACATACTCCCTTCCTGCTTTTACAAAAGACTCACGCTTCCCACCAAGTTGATACAGGGATATATGAACAACTTATTTCTGTCATTTACGTATACACCTACCTATACGCTTGTCTTGCATTTTTGGACTGCATGATTCTCCTGTGTATTTCAGTGTTAGTGCAGCACATTGCTAAGAGTCAAAATGAGTCATTTTCCCTAGCAGTAGTAACAAGTGAGATGCGTTCATCAACATTTAAGAATGACAGGTTACAGTTGTTGAAAGTCATGCCTTGTAATGCATTTTCACTCCAGATGGTTCTCTTTCCACTGCATACCCATGGGTTACAAATCCATGGAAAAACATAGCTGTAATTCTTTTTAGGCTAACAGTTCAGACTTTCAGAAATTCAGCTGGACCCATGGGAAGGGTATTTTTAATACCTTGCATAGAGAAAAATCTTTCAAACCTATTTATAACTGTATTTTAATGGAAAGAAATAGTTTTTAAACTGACTTTAGAAGGGTACATTTAAAAATAGAGTGGAACTTTATTTCTAGTCTTTTCTTTTTCACTGAAATAATAAAACTTAGAGTAATGACATCTGTCTTGGAGGGAAATACCTCTTTCTATTGAGACTAATGCCAGATTACTCGGTATCTGACTAATTTCTGGATAAAGAGGAAACACATTGTGCACATCTAACCACAATCTGCATGCCATTTATACTTTTTAATGTGATAACATTTCCATTAAAAGAGACAGGATGTGCATACATCAGAAATTGGCTTTGTCTGGATACGTTTTGTGGTGTTGTGCTTTTTTTTTTTTTAAAGTGTGATGGTTTCCCATTGATCTCATTTCCTAACAAGATATAATTAAAACATAAATGTGGAAATCAGAGCAAACTTGGAAGCAACTGAACAGCAAGGCAGTCTGAGAGTAGCAAAGTCGGAGTCTCAAATAAAAACTGAGGTTAGAGATAACTCAATCTGACAAGTTGGAAAAGACACCAAGATAGTACTCGCACTGTCCAAACTAAAAGCCCGACAGCCAAAGCAACTTGGCCATTTGGCAATTTGTATGTGTTAAGACACTGAGATATATTTTTATGAGTCTATTTTTTAGGCAGTTTAATTTTACTATGCATAGATGAAGAATTTCAAAACAATTTAAAGAGTTTGATACATGTTCTGTTCAAAATTAATGCACAAGTCTTCAGGTATAGACTGTATTTTCTAAGTTTCTTTCCAAAGGAATCCAGGGGCATATATTGAGGAGTCTGAAGAATGGGGTTGTATAATGAAAGTAGGAACCCAAGGCAAAGCAGGGCTGGTGAAAGAGCTGTTCCACTGTTTTCAGAACACAGAATGGACTCAAGCTTTAACGAGGAACTTATCACAAATTTTTGCATATGGACATTTTTATGAAACACACAAATGAATTTGAAACTTTTATCTTTCTGATTTTTCAATCTTCAAATTGGACCTTGACTATGGATAAACTAATAGGCTTGGTGAGTGGCTCAGTAATTACCTTTCACCATGGAAAATACTTGCTAAAGACTACATTCCTAACTGGAATACATGTATTAAAAGACTGCTTGTATAGTTAGTAATTCTTGGGCAATTACAGAAAAGTATAATGTCTGAAACAGCCCCACCTACGTCAAGATTCCATGCCATTTTAACCCTTCTGATGAACTGCTTTAAACTTATTTTAATTCTAATCTTCATACTGTCAGTAAGTAGTGAAGCACCTCCTCAATCCCTCCATATACACAGAGTTTTCTGGAAAGAGAGGTAACAATTCAGCACAGTAAGAGGATGCATGATTATAGAAAGCATTTATGTAATCTTACTTCAGCTCTCTTCAGCATCTCCCACTTATTAAGTATCTTCATGGCAAAAACCTTATCTGCATTCTTCAGTTTTACTACTGCAACCTGGAAAAGGTAAATGAAAGACAAATAAGTCAAATCATGAAAATGCATATTGTTTTAATTTCTGGAGGATTTCTTTTTTCCAGTGTTCTGGACAGTTAGCCTTACTATCCACACAATACCATACCATCACCATCAAGAAAGAGTAACATCACAACAGTACAGGATATTTATTCTGTGAAAGTTTCAAGTCTATTTTAAGCTTTCATTATGTATCATTTTTCTAGGTGATTGTAGATGGACAATGGTATTTCTCACCATCACGCTTCTTGCTCTATCATACTATCATGCAGCTAATCACCAGCTGTATGCTTTATGGTCTTGGACTTACCCTTCCAGTCCTGCACAGTAATTTAAATTACAGAACCTCCAAGAAAAGACAACAACATGGTAGTTTCTAAAACAAAATAAACAGTATCTTTTAGGTTTTAGACACAAATTGGACTGTAGGTTTGCCATAGAAAAACTTCCACTCTTATTTCAAATAATGAGCTAGACATCCTTCAAAGATATAGTAACGTATTACTTCACATTTTTCCACCTGAAGTTCAAGGAGCTCTTTATCACATCTGTTGTCAGTGGCAGGGAAACAGTGAAATCCACATTTTCTAGAGAAGTAAAACTTAGGAAACACAAGCTCCCCTCCCTCTTATTGCTTCTGAAACATTATATACCGTAGGCTTATGTAATTATATATATCAAAGCCAAGTGACACTGTCCTTTTCTGAGAATATTATGGTTTTGTTTAGCTATAATAAAAGCTAACATGGAATATTTTTAGGAAAGAGGGAGGGAAGAAGTTTACACAAACATGTTTCACAGTTCAGGCTCCCCTGGTACAGAAAGCTAAGTATCTTTCCCAAAATGGCCATGAATCTGCCACAGACTCAGCTGCTGATCAGAAGTAGACCAGACCACTACACTACCATCTCAATTATAGAAAAGTTCAACAATCAATCCATTTTAACAACCATTCTCCAACTATTCCATTCTGCCTCTTCCCGTTCAAATAAATCTTAAGGCTTAAGGAGATAAAAGTTTATTTCTGTGTGCATCTGGTTACAAACCAACATGCAGTCACACAGATTACCATCACCTTCATCCTGCAGGCCAGTGACAAAAAAATACTAAGGTTGAATCCTACATTCCTTCCACCTCTTTCATAATCAGTAAACCAGCTATGTGTGAAGACAGTGATAACAGAAAACAAAATACAGGATCAGACAGTTTGAAGAAAGTGTCATGCAAACCTCTTTCAACCATCTTGAAATGTGTCATCAGCTGCAACAGCTTCATGAACATGGCAAAAGCACAGGTTGAAGGACTGCAATACTCAGATGTCTAAACTAAAGCATATCTAAAAGCGTACCTCTTGCTTAGCTACAGATTCATGGATGAAGCAGCTGTCACTTCCCATATGCGCAGCAACTCATTATCAGCCCTGCTCTTGACACTGCTGCTTTCTGGGGTTGCGGAGAGGTGGGAGTGGGGGGCAGTTAAAAACAAGGAGAGAAGACAGAAAAGTACTACATCTACTTGTTTAAACTAGTTTAGGAACTGAAATTGTTAAAAGGTTACTTCATGTATAAAAACTGAGGTTCAAATCCAGACTTGGGATCCATCAAGGTACTTTCAGATTTGAAACACAAAAATAGATTGTTACTTCAGACTATAATCTAATACTTGTCTACTTGTCTACTCTTGTCTATTCTTCTGCGCATGGTACTCCAAGACTGAGCATCACAATTTTCCTTCAGAGGAAAAGATGAATCCTCTGCAGTAATATATAACCCTCAATGCAGATCTGAACCTTGGGTCTCCTCTTACTTTACTAGCTAAAACTAGCTTGAAACTCTGATAAGCCATATCTGTATCAATTTCTAATGAGAAATGCCAGGAGGAGAAAGCCTTAACATTGAAACTAGTCAGCGTTCCAACCGTACCATATCTTGGATGACAGGGACCCTCTAGGCATGATGCAGTCTGTGCTATGAAGCTACAGTGTAATTCTTCCCTAAAGACCTTTCCTTAAAGGTCCTTGTGATTGTTGCTGGGAAAAATTAAAAGGCTGGTCCTAGAGCTGACTGGACTACTGCTGCTGCTGCCCAGCATGAAAAATAAGTTTTTCCCCGCCATTAACCATTGTAGTACAGGCAGCCAGAGGCATAAGAGCATACATGTATTTCAAGTTCAACTTCAGGATTTCATTTCTCGCCTGTAGTATGCTCAGTGAAAGGCTGTGTTATTCTGCAAAAGACTTGGTTATTGAAAGACATAAGTTAATTACACAGCTGCCTAAATTTGTAGTCTCCTATCCAGCATTCGCTTGGACACAACCAGAAGAGCTACAGCACTGCCTTTGGTTAACAGCTGGAGCATAAGGCCTTCAATGACAAGATCAAGGCTTGGTACCTTCTGTGAATGTGTAATAGTATTGAAGAGTGACTAAAGAACAAAAATAGACTCATGTTTGCCAGCTGTGTTTAAAATCAGTTAGAAGCAGTCTTTTAGTCTGTGAAAGTCATTAATGTTATTCCATATCAATAACCACCACACACCCCAAATGAAAAAGATCACAAATATCATCATTATTCTGCAATCACAGCATCTTTTTGGGGGTGTCTCAGTGCTTTATGAAGGTTAATTCTAAAATGCTTATTTCAACACTATGAAAGAAATACCTGCCACTTCAGCAATGAGGAGTCTGATGCATTTTTTAATTGTAACAAAAAATTCTGAAACATGATTGCAGACCCAGGCAGTGTTTACATACACACACAGAGGTATATACTATGTATACAAAGGCCCAAATACTCCCAGTGCTGTTTTGATCTTCTCCCTTCCCTAATGAAGCTGTCAGGACAGAAAAAAGGGTAATCATTCCTGTCTAGTTATCCTCAAGTGTCTTGCTACTGGAATTTCTTACAATTAGACTTTTAAAGGTTGCGGTTTTTTTAAAATTTATATTTTCCTGTGAGCAGCCCAACAAAAAAATGATTGCTATGTGCTGATGTAAACATCTTGGTTTAGTCAGATAGGTTTTTTTTCCCCATTCTTCCAGCAGTTTTCCATATTTCCCACAAAGAGCAGTACAGTCTGGCATGCTGTCAGACACCTTCTGCCCCAAACTTGGCTATTTGTCTCTATGGTACATGTTTGCACATTTCCTTTGCTTAAAAAACAACAGCCTTATACAGAAAAAAGCTAAACCAGAAGCTATTAAAATTGCAATTAAAAAAGAAAAAAAAAGGAAGAAAAACAATGAAAAATAAAATTTAATACTACTACTAATAAAAGACTCTGCACTCAGCACTGGTTTTCTTGTTCACCATGAGTAGGCAGTCCTCCAGAAACAGGAAGAGGAAATGTTACTGTTCATAACTGGATGCCAAAATTTAAGAGTAACTAACTAGTTCTTGGAGCTACAAAATTCATCATCTTCAAAATATCAACAACATAACGACATAGTATTTGCTTGCATAAGCAAGCACTGAACTTTCTTTTTTTTTTTTTTTTTTTAAAAAGCAAAAATAGAATCAACTGAAAATTTTGGTATCAGCTAGAACCTTCAAATGAGCTGCACTTTTATAGTGCTGAGACACACTGCTGCTAAGGGCTGTTGCCCAGCTGCTTCACCTTTCCCAGCAGCATTCTTCAGCTCCCAAGTTTAAAGTCTTCTTGTTTAGAGCTGGTTGTTAAGTTTTTCAAACCATGCTGCCTGAAGCCAGCACAATGAAACATTTGATGCCCACGTTATTAATTTTACCAGGATAATCCTCCTCCTCCAAGCAAAACATCTGTGTTTTCTAAAGACAGCAGTCTCTGACATAAAATTTTAAATAAGTAAACATATGCACAGAGAGGGAAGGGGTACGTCATTAATTCGACAAAAAGGAAGCATTCTCAGACTGGCAGCAAGCAGGGTAAGGGGAAAAAGAACACTAGGAACAATGAACTCTTACAGTTATAAGCGATAACTAGTTTAAACTACTTTTTCTGTACATCAAGCTTGTAAAAACAAAAAGGGAAATATTTCTTGACTATGCAAATTGAAGAAAATGAGTAGCGTAAAATCAAAATAAGAACAAGTCTGAGACTGTGCCAAAGAAAACTTGCACTAAGTTTGCAGTCTACAGAATTTCAGAATTATGTTGATTCAGGAGACAAAAATTACTCCTCCCAATAACCCAGAGTAACCTTGGTCTCATTTATAGTTTGCTGGAAAGAAAATACATTCTTACAGATTTCTTAATCTGTCTCAGTAAACTACTGTAGTCCACTGAATCATACAAGTATTCTGCAATTTAATATTAATATAGCTTTTGGTGGCTTAAGTAGCAGTAAAATTTGGTGGTCCTTTTTTCAACCTTGCTTGGATATTTACTGGTTATTTTAAAGGAACATTAGTGATTTCATATAGAACTCATTTGCTTAGACAAATGTCTCTGTAGGACTGGAAACTTGTCTTCTGCAAGCTAGTAACAAAATTTAACATATATCCTTGCAAATATTTAGGAAGTCCTACTTCAAGAACATACAAACCCAAACATCTTCACTGAAAGAACTTCAGTTTTCCCCTTACTGAAGATTCTGACAGTTAAGTAGAGTCATGCTATGTTTCTCAGATAAGGAATTAGAAACAAACACTGTTGCTAAAAGAGGAGAACTAACCAATTACACAGACTGTCCCCAGAAGGATGGGGAGAGTTACGCTCTCACTATTCATGGGATGATTCACCACAAAGAAGCTTCCTGAGAAAGAGCCACAGGTTTTTTGTGGTTTAGCTGCTGTAGAGTTTGATGCTGATTTAGCAGACAAAAGTGACTTCTCTTAAAAACACAGTATAAGGCAGGTTTCACATAGGAGTCTTCTGACAAGAACGCACCCACATCACTGATTTTTCTTACCTCTTATACAATCTGTACATGAACTCAGCTGCAACTGCTGTGGCAGCACTGAGAAAAGCCAATGTTATAAGCAGAAGCATTTACGTCAAAACAGAGAATACAACATTCTCTTTGTGGCAGAGGTTCAGACTAAAGATAAATTATCCATGAGTAACTTCGGCCTTAAGTATCCTTTATAAAGAAGCATTACTCCAGATGAAGCGAAACCAACCAAAAGTGATAAAGTAGCTAAATAAATACTCCTCTTTTATTGTTATTTTTACAGTTGCCTGATGATGACATTTGCATGTAGGCATCAGAGTATGTAGTGACATACACTACAGTAAAAATTTTCCTGTTTCTAATGTACTACCTAGAGAAGTCTATTCTTCTATAACCACAGACTAATTTTCACACATGATGCAAACATGTAAGTGAACCTCAAACCAACTCTTCTCTGTCACATGCCATAGAGCCTCCAAAGATGCTCTCATACAGGAAAAATATTCAAACATTCATGAAAAATAGGAAATTAAGTGACACGCATAGAGAGATTTCTCTGTGTTCTTAGAATGTCAATAGCAGTATTTGGCTATTTAAGTTGCTGAAAACTACTTTCAGACTATTTGGATATTAGGATGATTAGAAATGGCTAAATCTTTATACCATCAGTAGCTCACTAGCCTCCACCTACTGACTGGAAAGAATTACAGTCAAGCAAATGATTTATCATCAGACAGTTGAAACATGGCCTTTTAATCCATGTGAACTTGCCTTCTCTCAAAATTTAAGAGACTTAGAAAGAGCTGTCAAAGAATATATAAGTCAAAATGTGCTTGCATCAAACATTAGGTAGGCCTACAATATCCATTATGCCTAAATAATGTAGAACCCTGTACATCAGTATATTGCTATTAACTGTCTCTCCTCAGTGCTGCAGATTTGCGAAAGCATTATTCAAACCCTTCCTTTCACCTCCTTCACAGACATACCTCCCCAAAGGCTCCTCGACCAATCACCTTCAGGATTTCAAAATCTTCTTTATGTAGTCGCATCTGTTTCACTTTAGATGTAAAAGGTTTGGCTGAAACAAAGGAAAATATCAATCATTTAAAAAAAAAAAAAACCCACAAACAAAAAAACCCAAAAACCAACACCACAAAAACCCCACACCAAAACCAAAAGACCAAACAAGATAAAAGTAACATAAAAGAGATGTAATCAGAGCCCTGAAAATAAGACTGTTTTGCTTATATATCTGTATTTCCTAATGTAATATAATGAAGTTTAAAGCTAGAAATAACGACCAGTAAGAACTAAGCCAAAACTGCTGTGAGAAAATGTTTATGAAGTCTTGCTTTTGGTTTGGTTTTGGTGTTGGTTTTTTTTTAAAGAAAAAAAAAGAAAGGGGAAATAAAAAAGTCAAACTGACTATATTTTCCTACAGCCTTTTGAGTTCATAGACATCCACTGCATCTGTGCTATATATTATTAGCTCTGGTTGCAAAAGCAAAGTATAATATAACGAGGAGTTTGCTTTCGACAACATTAATTAAAAACAGCAAAGCAATATTGTATTCAATGAAAAATTAAAATGGTGATAAATGGTAACTGGAAGGGTAATACTGGCCTAGATGATGTATCATGCAATATTTTTGGAGACCATTTCTTCAAGATAGGGGACACTTAACAGTCAATTCTTGACTTTTGGAAGTGAGAATAGTTGTACTCAAGACATTATTAACACACTCAGTAGAAAAATCCCACGTATATAAAATTAAGCTTAATTTCCCTCTTCTTTTTCCCCCCTTTTATATCTTTGAAAGCAGTAAACAAGAGAAGGTATTGTATTCCAGTCAGGTAACCCCAGCGTTCTCTGCAATGAAACAGTATCAGGAAGACTGTTCCCATCTTTCAGCCACATTTATGGCTACAACTAACCAGTACCAGTTCATTCATCCATGCTCTCTGCATGCACACAAAACATCCAAGTTACTGATAACTCTACCTCAAAAACCATGTAACACATTTGGTTAAAAAAAGAAGAAAAAAACCCACAAAACTTTAAATAAGCAGAAAAAGTTGTTCTTTTAAAAATAACTGTTTTAAAATAAGGTTTAACATTTTACACAAATGCAATCTATTACTAAAACAGAAACTTCAGTAAATATGGTCCATGAAAGTTGCCCCTAAAAGAAGGTTGTATAACCCAGTGTATGCAGGACTGGAACGGGTCTCAGAAAATGTCCAGGTCAATTTCTGGCTCAAAGGCAGTCTTTCCCAACTTTCCTAAACAAGCAACTTCAGATACTCCACCCATGGTTTCACATCTGTAGAACATGGACAGTATTTTTTGTAACAGACAAGGCACTGACCATCACATACTTGGATCAAGACAGAAACAAAAAAGCCCATCATAAAGTAGCTGTTTTACATGGCCCAAAAAAACCTTTTTAGCTTTCATGGTACAGGGACCCATCTATGTCCACTTCTATCTATACAGAGACTGAAGGAATTAGTACAGCTTTATTTGCAGTGAAGAGTTGTAACAGGTACCACACTGCAGAACAATTTGTCCAGAATAATGTTTCTAAACAGAAATGGGAATTTCTTTTCAAAAGCTCCAAAAGCAAATGACCCTACATAACAACCAAATTATATCTAGACACACGTAAGAAACCCAATTTAGGTTCTCCTAGAATTCAGTATTTTGTCTTTCTAATGTTATGAACTAACCCTGCTAAAAAAAAACCCTAAACCCTAATACTGATACAGATAACCATCATTCAATTTAGAATTTTGATATTAACAAACACCCCTTCAAGGCACTACAAAATCCAAAAGTCTACTGCCTACTATTCAGCAAAGCAATTTTATAAATTAAGTCAAGATGCAAACTACCTGTATTTTAATACCTAACCCCCCCCCCAACCTTCTTTATCCTAGTCCTTAAATTAGCATTGTAAATCACATTTGAAAAACAACAACGCAAAAATGCATGGTCTTACGTTTCTCCTGTTAAGCCATACAGCACACCTCCACTAATGTTACTGGTATGATGGATGAAATCCTTTAAAAATCTCAGAGGTTCCAAAGTCTGAACTTAGTCAATTTTTCTAAAATTCCTCAGACACGAGGAATCAATTCTCTGCCAGGAGTTATATTTGTTATAACTACAGGGACATCAGCTTGTGATTAAAAAAGCTAGGGGTTAGGTCCAAATAGTAAAGACGCAGCCCTACAACACTGAGATTTTTACTTTAGTGAGATTTTTACTTTAAATTTATTGTGCTTTTTTCCAAAATTTTTAATTACACAATTAAAATACAGGTTTAATATGAGATTTAAAATACTTTTAAAAATGTAATTTAAACAGAAGTATGTTACTCAACTTCACAGAGACTCCCTGAGCCTTCAATTAATCTTTTGTACCTTAGAAGGAAAGTCTTGCAGTAGAAAAAATAAGTGACAACAAAATGTACTGCCTTACAGGGACAGCCTCAGCTGTACTGTACCAAGTGATTTAATACAAATATTAATACTACTGACAAATACTACTGAACAAATTAAAAAAGGCCATTACAGCCTTTTAACTTAAAAAACAACTGATTGAAAACAAACTTGTAGTTCTCAACTTCAACATTTTTTGACCATTATAGGCCTGGCCAGAGTACAAGGCAAAATATCTTGTTAACAAGCAACAGCATAGCTTTTTAAACCACAAAACTCTTCCTCACTTTGTATTGTAAGGAAAGGCCTGTCATTCTTTAATTATTACATTTTGGAATCTTCCAGGGTTCCCATAGGGACACTGGAAAAATAAATATCATTATAACTACTTCAGTAAAATACAGTCGACAAAAATAGGTTTGGATTAGGTTTAATGATTTGTAGTATCAGTGTTAGTGGAAAAGTTTGTAAACCCTTCTCTAATTTTTTTTATCACCTCTAGCAACAGACATGTCAACGTATAGCCAAGCAGTTGTATGAAGAAAGATATAGTCCAAGAAAAGAACGAATGAGGGAAGAAAACAAAAAAAAAAAAACTGCCCTAGGAATGCACTCCAAATAGCTTGTTCCAAAAAAGGTCAATTTGCTTTATCATCAATGTTGTTTGTCTGCTGCGCAAACATCTGCTGTTCTTGTGGCAACAGCAATCTTAAGTACAGAAAACTTGGCCTGGCCAAGGGTCTTGGAAGGCATCTCCTCAGACAGCCGTTTCATGCATCCAGCTTTCCAGACTATGAGGTTAACAGGCAGACTTTTTGCAACCAGTTTGGCAATGTCACAGGAGTTGTTATAAAGACAGCAAACTGTAAGGTCAGAGACCACTTTTCAAAATGCAATGTGATCAAAGGGGTCCCTGCAACGCAGCTCTATTAAAACATACAGGTACACAGCCCTCTCCTGTTTACATCCCCATCCAGAAAACAACACCCTTTTTTTTTCACAAGGAGCTGCAGTTTCACTGATTGTTGATACCAGAGCGACACGGTGGCTGCTTTGCAGCTTTTTGAGAGCAAAAGGCAGTCCAGGCATTTCCTTTGGTACTTCATTCAACCTACAGAAATACACAGAGGGATAGCTGATTTTTTTCCACACAGACATCCCTTTGCAAGGTTGCTAGCCATGTGTGATACAGATCAGGGACCAGGACTTTGCTGTGTCAAATTGAATTCTTCCTCCTCCAAACCAGAGAGTTAAGTGTGGGCAGCATGTCCCCTAGCTCCTCCTGGACTTTCAACTCGGCCAGAAACCAAGTTCGTTCTATAAAACTTTCAAATTTCCCCAGCATGCTCTCTATGGCCACCAGCTGGCAAGTCATACGTAGAGTCTGTGGAGGAGGTTACTCTGAAAAATATTCTGTGTTGCTATCAATCACCGTGGAGGAGATGGATAGACAAGACTTTATCTATAAAAACTGTTATACAAAAACATTAGCCACCCCACCTGGCCAAATACTTTTGGTCTCACCCTGCCTGGGAAAATTGCACCACCACCCTCTTGGCAAGATTTCTTGCACTTACTCAGTTGGTTACACGTGGCAAGAAAAACCAATCTCCCTATTCACCCTCAGGGGTAACCAATGTACTGAAGTAGTAAGCTAAGCTGATTTTTCAAACAAGGTAAACCTGTCATGACTATTCCTTCAAGTTACTTAAAGTCTCTGTGGGTCTCTGCCCATGTTCTAGTCATTCATTCCATTTATAATACATTCAAACAATAAAAATCAGTCAAAGGAGAATTCTACAAGTGTTTGAAATTTAGTTTTCCAGTCAAGATTTAACTAGATCTTCACCTGAAGTAACATGTTAAGCACATAGAAAAACAGTCAGCAGGATTCCAGGTGCCAAGCCAGGCATACAGAGAAGCATATGTCCGACCCCCTGGCCCTGAAAAGGGAAGATTTTATTACAATTACAACAACTGTCCAACAGAAGAGAGGCAAAACAATGGTTTCTGCAGTACCAACACTGAGCTTCAACAGTCTGTTTATCATATTGGGGGCAGGGGGGAGCAGTTAATAGCATTATTTACAGCACATTTAATACCAAGGAGTTTAATTTTTAAACTCTTGGAGATAAAAGTTGATCTCCTGAAGAGCGAACACAGGGAGGACTGCAACATGGTTGATAACCCAATACAGTTTAGTTTGATGATTATACATGTGATACCAGACAATATCAAAATAATAAACAAGCAGTATTGGATGCTTTATTTGCAAAGTTAGTCTCATGCTCCTGCCTTGCTCTCTCTTCCTCCAGCTCCCAGTTTCTGTCTGCAGAGCTCAGGCAGGGCTAGCCCTGAAATTCAGATTTTTTGAGGGCTAACCTACTGGCTGGGGAGAAGGAGCTAGTGGTGAGCTCCTTCCCCCTCCCTCACCTGCTAGTGCCCCTTAGCCCTCCCCAGCAAGGCACTGCAGCAAACCAGAGCCAGTGTAGGCATGGGTTGAAATTAAATCCAAGTGAGATGAAGATCATGTTGAGTGTTTAAAGAAAGTGCTGCAGACTTGGAGCAGCAATTGAAAATGGGTCCCCACAACTGATTTAAAGAGAAAACAAATCAGAATGGGACAGCATTTAG